GGGGCGATATGCTGACTCTGTAAACCACTTAGAGAGGCCTGAAAGGCCTATGAAGCGGTATATAAGTCTAACTGCTATTGCTATTGCTATATATTTTCTATTCTTCTTTTTCCCTTCTTCTTCTATTTCCAATTTCCTTTTTTTATTCTCTAATCATGGGTAAAACACATTTCAAATCATATGATAATCAGTTTGCTCTTTCTCCTTAATTGCTAATAATAATCTGTTCATTTCTGCACATTCTAATATTTTCCTAAGCACCTCCTCGTCAGTAGGAATTTCGTCACCTTTCCAATATTGGGCAAATACAATTCTAGCTGCGGTTAATATGTGGATAGTTAAATATGTATTCTCTTTATTATAGGTTTTAGGTAATAACCCCAATAAAAATATTTCTAGTTTTAACTCAATAACGTTGGTTTATCATCTTTTCCAACCATATCTTTATTTCTTTGCTTCTCCACATGCCCACCACATGTGATAGTATCTTAATAGTCTGAAAAATATGCGTACTCCTGATGCAACAATGGGATGCCCGTTGTGTTGGAGGACATTTTCAATATGATTCCCTCCTTAATTCTTTTCGAGGTGTCCTCAAACTTTTTTAACAGGGGGCCAATTCACAGTCCCTCAGACTGGGGGCGGACGGCGGACTGGCTAGGTAGGCGTGGCTAGATGACCATGTGACTGGGTGGGCGTGGCCAATGTAGCAGTCCATCTTGCCTTTGTCCTTTCTAAGCTGTACTTGCTGAATCCCAAGGTATCTATTTCAGAGGTGGGTTCCTACATCAGAAGCGAACCAGCAGTAAAAGAATCCGGAACCCACCCCTGATCTATTTATTTAATAAGGACACACACACACACACCCCAGGGAAAAAGAGCACAGACTTTCTTGCCACTTGCCTAATTTCGGTACAACAGTAACTTCAGGCTTCTTAAAATAGGCCATTAAAAAAAAAAAAGAATAAAACAAACAGTATTTCCTTCAAAATTAACTCCTGATTGTGTTTCAGATCAGTGTTTCTCAACCTTGGCAACTTGAAGATGTCCGGACTTCAACTCCCAGAATTCCCCAGCCAGCGAATGCTGGCTGGGGAATTCTGGGAGTT